CGGCCCCCGCCCCCCCCCGCCGGCGGGAGCCACAAAAGAGCGGGAGGCGCCGGCGCCGCCGCTCGCAGCAGCCGCATCCCGAGGCCATGTCGCACCCGCCCTGCCCCTGGGGCTACGAGAAGCACAACGGTGAGCGGGGCGGCGGGCGGGGGTCCCCGCTTGTGCCAGGGGCAGCCCGGGCTCCCTGGCTGGCTGGGCTCGGGGGACGTGGAGTCTCCCCCTGACCTGCAGGCGTGGGTGCTTGAGGCAGCACGCCTCAGCGGTCCGAAATGCTTTGGGGCTGAGTGCCAGCAAACCTGCAGTCTGGATGTTGGTGTGCCGGGGCGGTAGGAGCACCAAATGGCCCAATGCTTGTGGTAGCGCAGCCCCTTTGCCACCAGGCACCCTGAGGGGTGCGTGCAGCCCCTGCCAGCCGTGGAGCCTGGGGCGCTTCCCGGCTGCCTGCCACGCTTGGCCCTGGCTCTGGGGGGTTATAGATCAGGGTCAGCTGGCAGGGTGAAGGCCAGGGGGCAAGTGGCAGAGGAATAAGGTGCAGGGGTCAGGCTACACATCTGTTGGGGCCAGATTTAAGACAGCCCTCCAGTAACTAGATTCTATACATGGAAAGTTAGAGCGAATTATAAAATTATAATATGTCCTAACGACCCATGTATAGAATCTGCCTCTTTTTGGGGTGGTCATCTTGTGTTCAAAGCCATCTTGGATTTGGGTACCTACGGTATTAATTGGAAAAATAAATCATCATTATCAGTGCATACTGTTCTATCCAGTAATGTAACATAGAAGATAGATGAGAACGGAAAATCACAGTAGTAGCCCCAGTAGCAGTAGCAGTAGGCATCTGTCTCGCAGGACAATAGAATTATGATGCTGCTTATTATAATCCTCGCTTGAAAGATGAAGCAAAGCCAGAGTGACTTCTCCAGGGTGCAAGAGCCTGGACAGTGTATATGGAGATGCTGAGCTGTCCACACACCAGTATCCGCCTTGCTGGTTTAATCCAAAGGAAAGGCAGGTGCCAGTTTGGCTGCAAGGGCTGCTGAAACAAAGGAGATAATCTAGTTGCCCATCTACTGAAGGTAGATTAATGGTAGCAGGTGAACTCCACGTGATCTGCATTAACACCAGTACAGTATTTCTAATTCCCTGACAGTGAGGCTTTGGTGTGTCCTTATTGTTTCTGGGACATTTGTACAGGAACAACACGGCTTGGTACACTTTCCTTCCAAAGAGCTTTGGAGAGCTCTTCAATTGCTTATGTATCTCCATATCCTACCTTGTTTAATTCTAAAATTCCAGTCAGCCAGTAACTCCAGCTCTGTCTCACCAAGTTTGTGGAAACGTACAAATGGTTGCCAGCATCATATGTTATCCCCACTCCTTTGTACCTGCAATGAGATAACTTTTGTTTCAGCCAACTGTGATAAATTTGCAAATATGTCTGATGTCCTCTGTTGAATTAATCTGGACTGCTGACATATTTTAACTAGCAACATTTCTTCTACCTGAATACAAAAGACCTAAATACAGAATACAAGAAAGATTTAGGGGGCAAGGGAATAGGGTACTACCATCTCTGAAAAACCAGTGATTGAGATTTGAGAAGGCATTGTTCGGTAATTTGCTACAGAGCTAGATATGCACATAACTTTTTTTATTTCAGTTTACATGGGTTGTAGGTATGATGACATTGTCTGGCACTACCAACTTACTTAATTTCATGTATAGAAATCTCTGGTGGAAAAAGCTGAGAATAAAATAGTGCCTGAAAAAGCTTCTTCAGAAGAGTCTAGCAATGGTGGAGAGGTGCAGTGTGGGTTGACCCCAAAAGGATTCGGGCTGGGAGTCCCAGCCCAATCTCAGCCCTTATTCAGTGCTGTTTACATAGCACACATGCCAGTGGGATTGTCAGCTGGCTGGCATACAAAAATAAAGTTTTAGGTTGGGCAGCATCCTTCCCAGACTTATTCAGGAGAGTCCCCTGGCCAGGAAGATGTGTAGTTTGGGGTGACCCGAAGTGGGTTTTGCCTTGTGATCCCAGCCCAAAATAAGATCAATATTTGGTGCAGTGTACTTGACATATGGCAGGCTGGCACTCAAAAACAAGCAGCATGTCAAGCAGGGGCCTGCCCTTGCCTCTCCAGGAGAGTCCCCAGGTGGTGGAGAGGTATGGTTTGGGATGACCCAAAAAGGATTTTGCCTGATAACCCCAGCCCAAATTCAGATCCTTATTCAGGTCCTTTGTAGGAACATATATAGTACACAAATCTGGGGTGATGTCATTTGGCAGACTGGCATGCCAAAACCAAGTTTTGGGTCAAAGCAGTGCCCTACCTAGACTTCTTTGGGAGAGTCCCCTGATGGTAGGGATATGTGTTTTGGGGTGACCTGAAAAGGATTTAAACCCTTAATCCCAGCCCAAACAGCTCTTTATTTGGGGCAACGTAGATGGCACACAGACCCTCTGGACCCTATCAGTAGGCAGGCTTGTATGCAAAAACTGAGGTTCAGGCTGAGCAGGGACCTGCCCAGGCTTCTTTGGGAGAGTCCCCCAATGGCAGAGATGTGTGGCTTGTGAGGTGACCCAAAAAGGTTTTCCGCCCATAATCCTATCCTAAACACATGTCCTTATTTTGGAGCAATATACATAGCACACAGGCTGGCACTTGAAAACTGAGCTTAAGGTTAGTCAGGGGCCTTCTTAGGCTTCGACAGGAGAGTCTCCCAGTGGTAGAGATGAGTGGTTTGGGATGACTCGAAAGGGATTTTTGCCTGATTTAATCCAAGATCACTCTCATTTTATAATTTGGGGCAATGTACACAGAGGCCTCGGGGCCTGTAAGTAGGCAGGCTGGCATGCAAAAATTGAGGTTTGGGTTGGGCAGGGGCCTGCCCAACCCTTTCTTCAGGAGAGTCCTTCAGTGACACAGGCGTGTGGTTTGGAGTGACCTGGAAAGGATTTCCCCTCATAATCCCAACCCAGACACAGCTCCTTATTCAGTGCCATGTACATAGGACACGGGCCTGGGGTGCCATATTCTGGTAGGCTGGCATGCAAAACAAGGCACGCTGGGACCTAGTCAGACTTCTTCAGGATTGTCCCCCCAGGCATGAAGACAGGATTGTCCCCTGGACACATGATTTATGGTGACCCATAGTTAGTTTTGCCCCATAATCACAGCCCAAACACAGCTCCTTATTTGGGGCCATGTACATTACACACAGGTCTGTGGGGCTGTCAGTTGCCAGGCTGGTGCATGAAAACTGAGCTTTGGGTCAGAAGAAGCCCTGCCCAGGCTTCTTCAGTAGAGTCTCCCAGTGGCAGAGACATGTGGTTTGGGGTAACCCGAAAAGGATTCTGCTCCATAATCCCAACCTAATCTCAGCTCTTTATTCAGGGCTATGTACTTGATACCTAAAACTATTTTACATTTTTATTAGTAAATGTACATTTCTGATGAAATTCTAATGCCTTAGCGTGTCTAATTCATTGCTAACAACCTTTAAGTGTATAAAGATTAGCTTTGAATAAGGAACCAAGAACTGGGAGCCAGGAATAAGGAGCTGGGAATAAGGAACCAACTTCAGCCTCATTCAGAGCTCTATAGCAGCAATTCCCAAATTGTGGGTGACAACCCCAAATGGGGTTGCAGCATCAGCAGATGGGGTTATGGGGGCTATGCTGAGGAAATAGGGTCGTGTGAGGAAATGGGGTCATGCTGAGAACAAGTTTGGGAAGCACTGCTCTACAGACTTATTTCAAACCTTTGTTAAAGCTTGCTCATGGCATGTTTCCACGTCTGGTGAAAAGGGCACAGCCTTAGAGAACATTTATCTTAAGTAATGCATCTGGGAGCCAAAGAGGCAAGTCATATTTAATGGATGAAAGACTGGGTCTTGTAAAAACAGTGGATTGGAAGGACTTTGTGTGGTGGATCACTGCTTTAGCATGATCTTTCAGTACAGTGCTTAGGCAAAAAGGCTGTTGCAAACTTGGGCTGCATGAAAAAGCCAGTGTGGAGGAGAGATGGGGATCTGATAGCCCCCCATGTGGCTACATTCTCTTAAATGCGGAACTATAAGCATTGGTACAGCACTGGTAAGATTGCTACTGGAATACTGCACTCCAGTCTGGTGTTCCCCATGAAGAAGGATGTGTGGGTACTGGAAAGACCTCAGCAGACAGCCACAAGGCTGATCTGGGGGCTGGATAACAAGCTTTACTGTGTGAGTTTTAAGAAGCTCAACTTATTCAGTTTATAGAAGACGAGAATGATGGGTGTCAATTGCTACATATAGGTAGTGACACACAAAAAAGAAACCTGATGACAGGGGACTCTTCACCATTGCCAAAAGAGATGGAACAAAGTCTGGTGGCTGGAAGTCAGTCATTTAAATTCAGCCTCCAAATAAAACAGAATTTCCTGGCCGTGGGAGGAAATAACCACTGGATTAGCTTGCTAGGGGAAGTGGTGGGTATACCATTGCTCAGAATCTTGCACATGAGATGAGAGATGCTTTTTAAAGTTCATGTTTTAATCTAGCTTCTGAGATAAAATCTGGGGTGGGGCTGGGGATAGTGGAGGCAGAACATTTGCAGTTGTCCTATATAGCCTTGTAATCTGTGACTCCAGTCAAATTCATTATTGTGGAATGCAAGGAGAATAAGAGATCTTGCATTGCCCTCAACAGTCTCATTACACTTATAGCTCTGCATTTAAGAGAATGTACCTGAAACACACACCTCCAGGGCCTCATCTGGCTGCACAGGTCAGGGAGGATTTTCCCCTCCCCACCCCCCAGTGTAATATTTGCTAGATTTAATCTGAGTTTGGGGATTTTGATAGGTTTAGGATTTGTCTTTCTTTTCTCCTCTTTCCCCCCTCCTTCCCCCCAGATTGGACTTAGTTGAAGATGGGACATTGGATGAGGCAGGCCATTATTCTGAGGAAATAAAATCTTAGATGTGTGAGTGGCATGTCTTATGTATGCAGTCACATTAATTACCAGACATGGAGTCGAGAAGGAATTTTCTTGCAGAGTAGATTGGCAGAGGCATCTGCATTTATCATCTTTTCTTCTATGCAGCATGGGGCATAGTTTCTGTGCTAATATCATTTGGGCATATTCAACCTAATTGGTCCTTTATCATTGCAGGGGTCTTGGGTATTGATGGCATCCTTGGTCTTTCTTTTTCTCTGCCTGTGACAATCATCTCATTTGAAGAGTGAAATGCTTTAGTTCATGGTTGTCACATTCATCTGCCCCCATAGGCTGGATGAGTGACATGGGGCTGGTCTGCAGGCTGCATCTGGCCTATGAACCTCCTCCCCCTTCCCCTCCTCTCCCACAATATACCTGATTTGGTGGCTGCTTCAGCCAATCTGGGACTTGTGCTGCATGTGGTGTAGATCTGGCCTGCTGACTGGCTCCATGCCATGGGTGCATGTTGTGCCCCATGTGGTCAGACTTAGGGGCAGCACTGGGTGCCAGATGGTGAGGTTTCGCAGGCTGGATCCAGCCCACGGGTCATATGTTCGACACTTGCTTTAGTTTAACTAAAGTCTTTGGGTTTATATCTGTTGAAATGTAATGACTTGTGATATACTGGAGGCTAAACTAGATCGGGGCAGCCAACTTGTGGCCTCTATGTATGGCATGTGTCAGAGGGGCAACACAGCATTAGACAGGGCAGAAAGCAGAGCAGGAGATTGGTCAGGGGTATAGGGCAGGGAACAGAAAGAAGGGCAGGAGAAGGGGATTGACACTTGGGGAGGGTATAGGGCTAATTTATGGCATGCCTGCCAAAAAAGGTTGGCACCCCACTGGACTAGATAATTTAATGGTCCTTTCTGCAATGAAATCCTGGTAAGTCATGAAATACAGGCATCCAAGTGACCAGCAGTCCACTTGCTAATAAGAGTTACTGGTGTTCTTTAGCTAAGCATGACATTAATTTTCTATATTTTAAAACAGAAATTAAATTTATGCCTGGCTGGAAGACATTTTAATAACATTTCTCTTAATTTCTTCCTAGGACCTGATCGTTGGTATGAATATTACCCAAGTGCTAAAGGACACAGTCAATCGCCTATTGAAATCAATAGCAAAGAAGTCCATTATGATCACTCGCTACTGCCTTGGTTTGCTAGTTATGATCCTGGTGCAGCAAAGACCATTCTGAACAATGGAAGAACTTGCAAAGTTGTTTTTGATGACACTTTTGATAGATCAGGTTAGTATTTTTTAATGAGTTAACGTTTGAGTGCTTGGAAGACGAAACCTATTCTTTTATGCTAGTTCCTGCTTAACCGTCTCTGCATGAGCCCTGCTCAGACCAAAAGGCATATTGGGGGTAAGATGAGGGTTCTTTAAGATCCACATTCATGCTGCCTAATGGCCTCGATGCCAAACACCAAGAGCGGGGAGGTTGCAACTGCTCTACAGTCTCAGGTAGGGGGAGGAGCTGTACAGCAAACACAAAACGTTATCCTTGGGCTTGGAGGCAGGGAATTGAACTCTAGAGATGCAACAACCACACCGCTGTCCATGGTCACAGAGCTCAGATATTTTGGCTCTATGCAAGGGGGTGAATTTCACCCAGTGTGCTTTGATGGAATGCTTGAATAATTCTTGTGGTGTAATAATACTGATTTTTTTTTTCTTTCTTTTTTAAAATGAGAAGAATGCAAATCATTTAATACTTGATTTACTAAGATTCTCCAAAATATATCAATGATGTTTTTGCCGGGGAGGATGGCAGGATTAGACTTACAATATTTCTTGCTGAAAGAGACCCGAAGTACCAAAGGAAAGGGCTGAATAGTTTTAGTTGTAAATAATCTTCTTTTTAAAGCAAACATGACATTCAAAATCATCACTCTTGATAATTTATCTACTCACCTGGAGTAGTTACAAGAATATGCACTAGCTTGTACGTCATTGTGGTTCTAAACCTAAGAATGGACTCGTTTTGAAACCAGTATAATTATATGTGTAAGCATTTAGCTTTTCTTGACTTGATCACTCTGACATCTCAGTGGTTGTGTTGGCCAGACTTCGTGGAAGATGCACTGAAAAGAAGCTCTAAAATTGCTTCACTACTTACTGAAAAACTTTAACTGAATATTACAGCACTGTTTCAACTCTAGGAAGTAAAATGATTCAAAACTTGCTTTCATCTTTACAAAGTTTGTATATTCCTAAAAATAGAATAGCAACAGCCAAAATTTCAATAAAAACGTATTGAAATTTCAATTTCAATAACCCTGTTACTGAAACCTTGGCATAACCCTGTTAAACCAAGACATTGTAAGAATCTTTGGAAGGGATATAATATATTTGAATCCAGTACTGCACTCACTCACTATATTGTGAGTGTAACATATGTAGAATTATTCCATTGGATTGTAATATATGAAATGGTAAGCTAAGGAAAGGTAAAACATAACTTTTCTAACTTTAATTGAACCAGCTTTTTTGTGCTTAATATAGAGTATATATTATGCAGCTAAAATTAACAGTATTGCAGCATTATTAGTAGGGATCACTGTAATTTAGCACAAAAGATTTTTGCTAATAGATTTAATGATCTTACATATTTAATGTATGTATGCATCTTTAATTTTGATTGTGGTTATTTGGATTTGTTCTCATGAACCCACCAATTGTCAAAGTGCACAGGCTGTATTATCTAATAAAATAAGATGCAGCAACACAAAAAGCAGAGTAGTTGCTGGATTTCATTTCTTTCTCTGACAAGAAGAAAAATTAATCTATTTCATGGAGATCACTTTGCTTTTATTCCTAATCTGTGATCTTTTTCTGAATTTGATTAATTTTGTTTTGGTGCAAATGCAACTCCATTCTTGATGAGCTATACCAGCTACTTAACTTGTTCATCAGTGTTGTCTTATTGTTTGTTTTCTTCTGCTCTGCCATCCAATTTTCTTTTTTTAATCTAACTGCTCCGGCCGGTCATCTTACTTTTAGACTGTAAACTAAAGTCAACACAATTTCAAATAAAACAGGGCTCTAATTCTTGATTGCAGTCCAAAGACACTGCTGTCAAACAAATAAATTAAAAAAAGAGTTATTGAGTGTAATATAGAATGCCCAGCCTCAAGCAGTGCATGGCATCAATGTTACATTGTGGCCATAAGTTTTCAATTGTCTGAATTTTTTTCAGATGAACTACTCCAAGTGTTTGGCTCAGATTTCAGAGATGAAAAGTGACTAACTAAAAAAAGTAGGCGTCTCCCTCTATATAAAAGCAGAAAACATTCAGTGTGTTCTACCCTGTCTCTCTTGTCATGCCTTTATTTGCAGGGATAGTTTGTTTGCTGTTCCCTCAGGGTTATAGTAAGAAGAGAAAAATATATCGGATTGGCACCGATTAAAAGAAAAATTGACATCAGCAGTTGGCCTTTTTTGGCCAGTGTAGCTGATAATGTCACTGATTTAAATGCTGCATGCATGCATATAGCCAGGAATGCGGCCTGGCAGCTTGGAGAACAGCCTCCTGCCAGGAAGTCTGGGGGAGGGAAGAGACAGAGGGTAGGGGGGGCGCAGGGCTGGGGGCAAGAAGGAGCTGTGGATGACTTGTCCAAGGGGTGGGAAGGAAGGGCGGCTCCCAGCCGCTGCGTGCACCCCTAGGGGAGGTATGGGGAGCATATGCCTTGCTGCCTGGATTTGTGTGTGGGGCGATGGTGAGCTTCCCACTGTGGGCTCAGGGCCGGAGGCTGCGCTGGCTTATTCCCAGCAGTGGGGGCTGCACTCGAGGCAGGGCAGGCAGCAGCAGCACTAGGAGGGGTGGCTGTGGCATGGTCTATGCCCACCCCAAAATTCCCTGTAACCCCCTTCCCAGCACTGCTGCCGCCTTCCCCGCTCCTGCCTGCCCTGTCTGGAGGGAGGAGTTTTAAGAGTAAACCAACCTAGTGGTAAGTCAGGCTTTCAGTCTTCATTACCTGAAATGTCTGGCTGAAGGTAGAGCCCTTAGTTGATGGTTGCCTTAGGGCTTCTTCCTGGGTGAAGAGAATGCCAGACAGCACACCAGTGATTTAAAACTATTAATACATACTTATCTGTGAACCAGACGGGGGGCCACTGGTCCCAAGGGTCTTCATGGAAAAAGAGTCTTACTATGACCTGGTGCTATTTATTTATTTATTTTTGGCTTTTCCATTTTGACCATTAATAACTCTGGAATGGATGGCTTTCATGGACCCAAATAGAGGACTGTCTCCCCTGACTGACTCAGTTGTGATAGACTATTGAGATACTGTGGACCAGTCTGGGAGAACAGTCTGGTGTGCCCTTAACAGGTAACTTGGGACAGGAGTTCTGTGACAACTTGGTTGAACATGTAGTCACAGTATCTCTCACTGATGGAGGCTTGACAGATCCAAGCCTCTGAACCACCAAAGTCTAAGAATGTGAGTTGGTGAGAAGGGGACAATGTGGTTGGTGGAATACCTACTGAAATGGATGACTGAGAATCAGCAGTGGCTCCTGCAGAAGATGGCTATCTAACAGCAACAGCTGGTTTGTTGGTAAAGTGTATAATAAGAGCAACCATAATACTTGGTTCAAGTGATTACTCTCCTGAAGCCTCAGTGTTCTGGGGAGATTCTACCTGTATAGATTCTGGGCCGTTGCCTAGTGATAGAAGTAATACTTATGAAAATAGCTTGTGGGAATGTTTTTTTCATTATTTGAACAAATGGCAACAGTAGTCTGTTGGCCATCTGAGCCCTGGGCCATCCTGGTAGCCCCATACCGAATGGGTAGCACAGCACAGGAGGGGGGGTACTACAAAGCAGCCTGCGATGCCCGAGGACTGCGACCTAACTTGAGTCAGGAAGAGATCTGGTACAAAAGTTCAATAGACTGGTCTAACCTATTAGAAACCAGTTAAATCTAATACTGCATCCATCCCTGTCTATCTTAGACTGGGTTTCACCATTTTAAATTGGTCTGTGTCAGGGGTGGGCAAAATACGGCCTGTGGGCAGGTTCTGGCCCACAAGACCATTCTACCTGACTAACGGGGCCCCTAAAAAAATTCAGAAAATTAAAACTTATCTGTCCTTGGTTCCTGTCAAAGATGACAGGAACCAAGGACAGTAGACCCAGGGGAAGCCCTGGAGAGCTCCTCCAACAGCAGGGCCTGCCTGGCCCCACCTCCCCAGCTGGAAGCCCCAGCAAGGGCTTCTGGCCTGGGACCATGTGGCTGCCCCAGCGTGGGAAACTAAGGTAAGGGCGGGGGGTGTGGGGAAGGACAGGGGACTAGCTGGTGCTGAGTGCAGGGGAAAAGCAGCCCCTCCCTTGCCCTGTACCTGGAGCTCCTTCCTGCTGCCGAAGTGTTTGCTGCTGCTGCCCAGTGCGTGAGCTCCAGGCGGGTGGCAGCAGCAGCCAATACTGCCTGGTGCGGCAAGCAGGGGGGCCACAGCTGCTGCTGCTATGGCACAGTCCTGATGGATGAGCCTGGAGCCGGCGCAGAGCCCAGGCTGGCAGCGGGGGTGGGTTACAAGCTGGTGCTGAGCACAGGGGAAAAGCACCCCCTTGCCTGCCCCACGAGGGCTGCAAGCAGCGGCAGCAGAGAGCTCTGGGCATGGTGAAGGGAAGGGGCCACTTTTCCCCTGCACTCAGCACCAGCTCCTTCTCTGCTGTTGAGCAGGGGCTTGGGGCTGCGCGCTGCCCCCCTGCTTGTACTGTGGGGCTGGGTGGGCACTGGGAGTGAGCAGGTGTGGGAGCAGGGCCTACACCCATGTCCCAGGGTCAGCATCAGCAGGGCCCAGAGTGGGGCCAGCTCCCCCCTCTCCCTGCTGGTGCAGCCCAGCTCCACAGACTCCTGCCAGCCTGTGCCCCGCTCTGAGCCCCACCAGTGCTAGCCCCGTGACGTTGGTCCCAAGTCATTGGGACATTGGTCCCAAGGGGGCAGGGTACCTGTCAAGGGGAGGGGCTACCCATGAAGCCCCTGACAGCTTGGCACAACTTGGTAAGCGGCCCTCCGCCCAAAATAATTGCCCACCCTTGGTCTATGTGTACTGAACTATTGTTCTATTACAGGTTTAGACCAGGTTCTGATCATTTATACCAGTTTGTATAATGTCTGTACCTAGCCTAGATGTCCTGCCAAACCAGGGAATGATGCCAGACTCAGTGGAGGTAATGGGTGTCATATCTGAATGTTCCAGCTGTGTTGGGGGGCAGAGAGCTAGACATAAGACCCTGA